ATAAGGTTGGGTACCTGTACTACTTTTCCCCAACAAAAATGACTGAAAATTTCAAAATTATAAAGGCAGCAATGTCCTAAGAGCTTTAGTGCTTAGCCATTTTACAGTGTGGTGTCCAAAATTTCGGAACTATTAATGCAGTTACAGTCTTTCAACACATGAACATCCAAAATTCTCTCTTACCGAGATCACATAGACAGCTCCACATGCAAGAAGCATGTAGCTGGCAATCTCCTGGAGCAAAATCAGATCATTCCTTTCAATACTTGGGTATGCCTTCGTCATGACAGCAACGCTGCCAGGAACCAAAAATATGGAGATCAACAAAGGAATAGGCATGTGATACAATTCAGCATGTGCAAGAACAAGTCTCAGAATTCATGACACTGCTTGCAGGCAAGGAATTTAAAATCTAAAATGCTCATGATCTCAACAGTTATAGTGCAGTTGCATATAATTGACACAAGTACTTGGTGCACGTAATGTGAATGTGAAGAGGCCAATCCGGTTAACACCAGCTGGACAACAAGAGTATTACTCTGAATTTATGGTCCAGACACTGAATTGCCAAAATTTTCATCCCAGTATTCTCACATCGAACCAAGTGTGCATATGTAACATTATTCTTTCATTTGTAATCACCCAGGTCGAAAACTATGTTATGTTTTGGAAAACCTAGATTAAAAGGAAATACATTTCAGGGTTCAGGCAAAGCTAAGATGATATGCCACATTCAATTAACCAGAAAAGTATTCTCACAACAGTGCACGCTAATATAGATAGGAGAGGTCTGAACACATGAGGACAACAATGCATCGACAGAAGAATAAAACTGAGATTGATATAGCAATTATATGGCATAAGAGAATGTTGAAATACTGTATGAAGGTTGGAATTGCTCATAACTAACATTAACACAGCACTATGATGGCCTTAATACCAAACTAATGTAGGAAGATTATTTACTGTATGAAGGTTGGAATTGCTCATAACTGACATTAACGCAGCACTACTATGGCCTTAATACCAAACTAATGTATGAAGATTATTGTTGCTCATCAAATCTTGGTCCAGATTTATGGAGAAACCAAGTTTTGGGTTGACATTGGAAGCAGATAATTGTTTTATTTCACAAAACAATTATACCGAACAATACAAATCAATGCCTCGTTGTCACATCTGCAACTTTCTCTGATGTCTATTTTCATATTTTATTGTATTATTTGCAAAAAAAGGATAACAAACACTTCCTATATCTGGATGAGCACCAAGCATAAGTGGTTTACTCAATTATGCATTCAAATGAATATACACAGATTGATTGCAGAGTTTTGGAAACAAAATTCGAGGAAATAGAAACATATGGTCACAAAAGAATACTTACAAGATCTGGAGCATTCCCCGTGCAGGCCAGTATTCAAATATCTGATCGCATAACAATTAAAGGCGTCACTAAATCAACGAGGCAGTAAAATCAAGAAAATATTAAGCTAGCCTCACTAACTTGCAGAACCTAAGGACCAAAATGCATTTATTGACTGAAACAGTATAAGCCGATTATGAAAACATCATAACAGAAGAAACCGGTACCTAATAAACTTATAAATATCTTTCCTGGTAAACACAACAGTTTTTTTTTTTTTTGTTTTTGATAAATGGTAAACACAATAGTTGCAGTCTACCAGTACCAAGTGCCCCAACTGACTAAATTGTGTAGCATTGTATACATCACCTAAAGTTTCACAATCAGTCAGATAGCGACCAAGCAGGCTCCAATTGAATAATCCCGTCGTGTCGGTAACAACATCACAAGGAATTTGCGGCCTCTCACAATCCAAACCAAGCCAAAGGTAGGTTGTACGGCGGAGATAGAAAGCGGAGCAACCAACCAACCTTCCAGAAGCGGATGATGAACCCCCACTCGGTCTCGAGGACGGCGACGAAGAGCAAGAAGACGACCGCGTAGCACCGGAATATGCCCCCGAATATCTGCGGAGGAGCAATTCAACAAACGAATCAGCAGCCCCCCAGGGCGGGCGTCGGGCGACGACGAGAAGGGGAAAGTCCCACTGGGGCGTGCGGGCCACGCACGTCGGAGCCGGCGCGGAAGGACTGGACGGCGGAGACGACGTTGACGGCGACGCACAGGAGCGCGGTGGCGGCCGTGACGACGCTGAGGCAGCGGCAGACGATGAGGAGCGGGTCGGAGCCGGCGCGCACGGGCGGCCGTCCCTGCCGCTGCAGCGGCGTGTGCGCGTCCCCGCCGGCCTGCGGCGACGAGGAGGAGGGCCCGGCCCCCGGCGACGACGCGGAGGAGCCCGCATTCGCCATGGCCTAGGGTTTGGACGCTTCCGAGGGAGGGACGGCGAGGGAGGGGAGCGACAGAGCGAGGAGAGGTATGGGTGGGGGCCGTGGCAGCCGCGGCGCATAAAGCGGAGCGGAGGAGCACGAAGCGTTGCCGTGGACCGCGCGCACGGACGGACACGGACTGGCTGGTTTGCCTGGAGCTTGCGGTGCTGGTGGACCAGGTGCAGGGGAGCGGAGAATGTGAGGTGTGTCAGGGCGTGGGGCCAGACGTGGCTGGGCACGTGAGCCAGTGGCGACTACACGAGCGCTAGGCTCCAAACAGTTTTTTTTTTTTTTTGACAACAAGGCTCCAAACAGTTGGGTACGGCAATTCAATTGTTTATTTTAATTTTGATGAAACTGGGATTAAAGTGATATTGTGTGTTTAACGTCGTAGTCGGTCACATTCATTTGGTTGGTTTTTACGGGGTGATAAATCCAGTGATCTTTGGTTTATTGTGAGAGAAAAACGATCACGAATGATAAACCCCGATCAAAGCAACACGCATAAGCAGTGAGACGTCCGAATGTCCCTTTTCAACCTAATATAAAATAAAGTTATAAAAACAAAACAGAACAGAATATTGTGCTTCCAAAAACAAAGGGGTTGTTCGGTTGTCTTATTGCCGGCTGGCTGGCTGACTTATTCACTCACGAAATTACTGTTCATATTCTAACAGAACAGTATTTTCCTCTCACAACAATCAGCCAGAACAGTATTTTTCAGTCATGCCGAACAGGCTGAAAGGTTATGCATGGAGAGCTGAGGCTAGTTGACTAGCGGTTGCCTGATGTTGAAACGCGGAGGAAACTTGCACACGTAGGAGAAGAACCCTGGAGAAACTTGTACACATAGGAGAACAAATTCGTTGCCTGACGCAAGGCGGCAAGGGATAACAACAAACTTGTGCATGCTACCAGGTGCTTTAGTTTTTGGGCACATACTGCGCCTAGCCACTTGCACTCGTGCCAAAGCCCAAAAAGCAGATTTATCAGAAGAAGAAGAAAAAAAAAAGCAGAGCTGACTGCACCTGCCGGTCGCCACGTGCCCAAGACATCACTCACTCATGGGCAGGGGAAGAGCGTTCGTCGATCGTCACTGCCAGGTGGGCTCAGCATCCGAATCCGAATGGGGCCTGATGGCATCGGCAGGCCCATCTCCAAACTGGTGAGATCGGCCCAGCTAGCTTATATGCCCAGCAGATAAAATAGCTCGTTCAGTAAAGTAATAAATTCCACTAAAAAAAAGTAAAGTAATAAATCTTTCTCAAAAAAAAGAGTAAAGTAATAAATCCATAAAGTTTATAATCGTTGATATTTTTTCTTCTTCATCGATCTACCCAGAAACAAAATACAGATATATTATAAAGCATGCAGATAACTAGTACCATGTGTTGCTTCATTTCAGCAGTTCCGATCCAGTTCGACTGAAGGAAGCTACAGAGTTCAACTACGAGGCAGAGTACCTCGTTAATGAAAACGCTGCTAATGCTTCTTGGTCCAAGGTATTAGATGAGGCATCATCTTTTACCTTGTTAATAAGCTACAGAAACTGAACCAAAGATTCACTTCTTCAGGATCTCTTCAGTTTATTTACCCCAGATGCTAGTCTAGACTAGTTTACTGAAAGAGGCCTTTTCCACGATGGGAATATGGGCAAGTTCAGTTCAGTTCAGTTCAGCATCACATCACACACTTCATCACTCCCAGAACGAGAAGGGGCGGGGTGGCTATCAGTATCAAGCAAACACAGTGAACAATAGGTTTGGTTCAGCTTCAGCATGTCAAAACAGAAGCCTGGTGGACAATGCTCATGCTTCGTGATCTGCATTCGACAGGCAAGACCAACCATGATTCAGCGTCAGCACCTGCTGCACTCATGTACTGGTACTGCTGTTATTCTTTGATCATGTTACCTTTTCTTTCCCTTGGTGTTCACCTGCACTGCACACAAACTAAATTGTGTCGCATGGTTTTGTCGCCACTGCATTGTGGTTTCAAGATTCACACATGAATAAGCTGTCTCTGTCTTTGGATTTCTACCAGGTTGGCCACACAAGCAAAAAATATGGCAGCAATAAATTAACAAGTTCCTGGCTATAGAAGCAATAAGATGTTGAAACACAATAAATCAATTAATTAATTAATGTAGGAAGGACATGGAACATGTGAAGTTGCCATGATCTGATTTCACAATGCTCCTTTTCTCGACTACATCTTTTAACAAGGAAAGGAATGTGCATTTCAGGATTTCATCACAAGCAGGAATTCTGGAGCCCATAGTCACAGATCAATTGCATAGGCCGCATTATCCATGCTCACGAAAATGGTACAGAGATCATCCATGGAGTCAACCACATCTAGTTTGGTTAAGTCGGCATCAACAGGGAGCAGCGTGTTAAGTTCAATGACTCTATTTTGTTCCCATCTAGTATCTACTTCATCAGCATCCTTCGTCGACCAAATGTAGAGTTTGTACTCATGTTCAAATGTTCAATAGCGAACCGCAGTCCACCGTCCTGTGTTGTTGTGAGAGCAGACAGACGACAAAAAGGCACTGAAGATGGTAGTTGAATCCACGACATTTGACGCAATTGCATGTTGTACTTGAAGGGTCAGACTCCACAAAAACCACGAAAATACTGTGCTACTTTTTAACAGATGAAGGGTCGACGGTGGCAATCAAGGTGATCACAGCCGCCGGTGCCATCAGCAGAGCAGAGAACCGCCGCGGTCCAGTACGGCACCCCTGTGCACTTCGGCGGGAAGGGCACCTTCCACTCCTCATCCGTGATGGGATCCCAGACGACGAGGGCCCAGTCTTCCCCACGGAGGAGGACACGGCCGTGTCGGGCATCCAGCGCGATCGGGACACGCTCGGCATGATGCGGGCGGAAGGCGGTCGTGGGCAGGAAGTGCGACACGCGGATGAGCTCTCGGTTGCAGAACATCCCCAGCATCGGCGGGGTGCGGTGGAACTCGCTGAAGCGGCGGCGAAAGCCGGGGCCGGAGACGAGGCGGCGCCAGCGCTTGCAAACGAGCGCGGCGCGGACGAGCGCCGCGGGGTCGTCCGGCGGGAAGCGGAGGAGCACCTCCTCCACGAGATCATCCACCAGCGGCGGTGGAGGAGGAGGCGGCGGCGGCGGCGGCATGGACGTGTGTGTGTGTGGCTGGTCTGTCGGTGCAGTGCTCGGTCGCGGGAGCTTGTGGTGCTGGTGGACCTGGTGTAGGGGAGCGGAGAACGTGAGGTGGCGGGGTGGGGACACATGAGGTGGACGGGAGAGCGGAGAGCCAATGGGAGCTCGGCTCGTGGCCACTTGGCGAAGAAGGCCTACTATATTTTTCTCTCATAATAAATTAATCAAGATCGGCTTATCAGCCGACTTTAATACCAGCCGAACAGACCCGAAATCATGAGCTCCACTCCAATACGATAATGTCCCATTAATTAATTTAATTATTAATCGACTGGAATTAATTTAATTAATCGACAGGAATTAGCATTGTTTTTATTACGGATATAAATCTTTGTTAATTCAGGAGATTCTTGCGGCTGCTCCTCAGCAGCGGCTGGTTCTCTGGTTTTACACGTACATTGAGGCAGCTACAAAGTGTAACAGTTGCTTAGCCGATATTAGCATTTTTTTAACTAAAAATCTAAAATCGGTAGTCCGTTAGTCTCGCGTTGACTTTTACTAGTCCATATAATTAGCTTATATTTAGTTTTCTTTATTGATATTTAAAACCAAGACCAAATTGTTAGCCCATTCAAGTTTGGCGCCCTGACAGCTGACACTAGTTTGTGGAACAGTTTCACAAGGATTCCACTCGTGCGTGCATTGCATTCCGACGAATCTTGCATGCACACGAGAAGAACAAAGAGGGATACTGGATACGAGCGGCGGAGCTCTTCAATTTTAACGCCTAGGGCCGCTCATATATAGCGCTTGCATCGAGTTAAAATACCGATGGATAACAAAACTAGCTTATAAATACATAAGTTTAGATTATATCTTAACTAACAAATATGCCTGTGCGTTGCAGCGGGAGAATAATTTAATGTGTTGTTGGTGGCACGAGTGTGGCTACACGGTGAAGCCATCCGTGTGTGGGCATAGTGGCCACGATAGCACGCGCGCCTAGTGTCATGGAGCAAACTAGTGTGTTGGGCCGAACAATGTCTCCATGGTGAATACGACATGGAGCAGTTCAAGAGAGGTTTGGCGGAGACTCCCTTGCGAATGGGAATGGCCCGTGAGTTATAGTAGAGTTACCCGACCATGGAGGTTGGCCCTGACATCCTTGCGATGGGCTCCAACAAGTAAAGAAAAGTGTGAGCACCACTTGACTTATTGTTGTGAGCATAACATACTGCTGAATTATTACCGTAATATAACTTAAGTGGCTTATGTATGTCGTCTACCACTTTCAACCCGGGCATGAACTTCTTCAGCCAATTTACCTGTCCTGTAGCCTCATAACACGCTACAAACTCGGCATACATCGTAGACGATATAGTGACGGTTTGCTTTGAGCTTTTCCATAATATAGCTCCTCCTGTGAGACTGAATATATATCATGACGTGGATTTTCTATCATCTCCCGCATAATCTGAATCTATATACCCATCTATGTGTAGGGAATCAGATCTTTTGTATGTTAGCATGAGACCTTTTGTGCCTTGCAAGTAACGTAAAACTTTCTTTACTAGTCTCCAGTATTATATTCCTAGATTACTCTGATATCTGCCAAGTAACCCAGTAACAAATGCTAAGTCAGGGCGTGTACACACTAGAGCATACTGTAAACTTCCGATAGCTGAAGCATATGAAACCACTTTCATTTGATCGATCTCATATTGGTTCCTAGGACATTAAAATTCCCTAAATCTATCATCCTTGACTATGGGAGCAGGTGAAGACTTACAATTTTGCATATTGTATTTCTTTAGAACCTTTTATAAGTATACTTTTTGTGATAGTCCTAAAACTCATTTTCTCTATCTCGGTGAATCTCTATTCCTAGAACGAACGAAGCTTCACCGAAATCCTTCATATCAAACTTCGAGGACAAGAACTTCTTTGTTTCTAGTAGTAGATTAACATCACTACTAGCAAGTAAGATGTCATCCACATACAAGATTAGGAAAAATGTATTTTCCATTCTTGAACTTTGCATAAACGCAATTGTTCTCTATATTTTCTTGAAACCCAAACTTTCTTATTGTACTATCAAACTTTAAATACCACTGTCTTGATGCTTGTTTTAATTCGTAAATGGATTTCTTCAGGCGGCATCCCATACATTCTTTTTCTTCCACAACAAACCTTTTGGTTGTGCCATGTAAATATTTTCCTCCAAATCCCCGTTTAGGAACGCCGTCTTTATATTCATCTGATGTAATTCTAAATCGTAATATGCTACAAGCGCCATTATAATTCTAAAAGAATCCTTACATGAGACTGGTAAAAATGCCTCATTGTAACATATGCCTTCTCTTTGCGTGAAGCCTTTCGCCACAAGTCACGCTTTAAATCTTTTTACGTTTCCTTTGGAGTCATGTTTAGTTTTGTAGATCCATTTACAGCCTACTGTCTTGGCTCCTTTAGGAATTATTTCTAAGTCCCAAACACCGTTGGTATTCATTGATTTCATTTCATCTTGCATGGCTTCAAGCCACTTTGATGAGTGAGCGCTTCTTATGACTTCTTCAAATAAGGTGGGATCACCCTCCATTTAAAATTCTTAACATTCATAGACTTCGTAGTCATCAAGAATGACTGAACTCTTGACTCTTTGAGACCTTCTAGGGGTCTCGTTAGTTGACGCTTGTTCTATATGGGGCTATTGTTGCTCTTCTTCATGTGTGACCACGGGTTCTATGGGATCCTGAACGACAGGTTCTTCATGTTCATTCATTGTTACCATATGAGAACTAATAACAGATGTTGTTACTATAGTGTCATGCACTGTTGGTACAACAACAACGGGTAGCGTGAAGAATGATTCCTAAACCATCGAAGTGGGCACGTATACCCGCTTCTCTTCAAAATTAATTTCTCGCGCTATCATGCTCCTCCTGACCATATCCTCCAAGAACACAACATGTTTTGTTTCTACAAATTTCGTATGTCTGTCAGGACAATAGAAGCGATAACATTTTGACTTTTCTGGATAGCCAATGAAATGACAACTGACTGTCTTGGAGTCTAGCTTCACTATGTTTGGGTTAAAGACTTTAGTCTCAGCTGGACAACCTCACACACGTAAATAGTTAAGTGAGGGTTTTCTTCCTGTCCACAACTCATATGGTGTTTTAGGCACCGACTTACTTGGCACTCGATTAAGAATATGAATAGCGGTTTTTAACGCCTCCATACATAAACACCAAAAGGCCTATATTCTTTGTTTGTGCCAAAAGTAGTGTAAAAAGTCACCACATCACCAAAGTGAGCATAATCAATTATCATTTTAGCATCAGCCCAGAAAATATTAGTTATATGTTCTTCCACATCTAATTGTAGAGCATAGTGGAAAGAAGGGTTCTCAGAGATCTTGTCTTGAAAATACTTCAGCATGCTTCCTGCCTGACCATATGCCAACTCTCTTTGACGTCTCCCCTGCAAGTAATTTTTTTTATCATGACAAGTGTAGCTGAGATTCTTTGGTCCTCCAACTTGGCGACTAGCCAACTCATGCGTAGCTTTTGGCCTAATTCCTGAATCATCGGCAGCCTAAATTTCAAAAGCCTGCACTTCTGAAATCTTTCTTTGTGATAGCATCAAATGGAAGGTTTGTGGCAAGTGAAGAACATAATTGTGCACAACAATTAGATCAAGCGCTTCATAATTCTCTGCAACTCAATTTAATGTAAGAGTCGTACGAACCGGACAACCTGTTCTTGTTTCTGCTCGAGGATTCTTTGTGATGTGATCTCTCTTTGTCTCGTGCTCAAAAACCCTCGGCACACACATATCTACGTGAAGTTACCTTTTCATCAAATCTACTTTCATTTGTGTACCTTTTTCTAACCTCAAAACCTGCATCACCTCCATAGTTTACCCAAAATGACCAAGCATCATCCAAGTTTCTAAATTTCTGACCAACTTGAGGTACCCAGCTAGGATTCACATTCTCTCTGTACATGAAAAAATGCATTCTCTTTTTTTCTCGAACGTGCCATTGGCACGGTATTCATTAAGCAGAAGGAGAGTTTTACAAATTAAAGCTGGGACTATAATTTGTGATTACCGAGCCAAACACTGACCGAGATCACATAGTTGTGATTTACAAAAGAAAATACTTAGCGATCAAGAGAAGGATCAAGCATAGGGACAAAACCCAGCAGTCCCTGAGCTCAGCGGCTAAAGAGTGTCGTGCTCGAAGCTAGTGAGGTTCAGCTCCATGGCAACCGGATCGAAGTCTGGAGCGAAGAGCGCCTGAAGGGCCTCTAGTCTGGAGGGCGACAACGGCGCAGCGAAGAAGGCCTTGATACTGTCCAAAGCCACAGGGTCCGGACCCTGCGGCATATCTGCGATCCCCAACTTTTGCTTGAGCACATTTTATGCTTGGACAGTTGGGTTGGAGGCCTTGGTCTTATCAGCCAGCCTCCCACTCTGACGCACCTTCATCACCATTGAAGGTGTCCTGGACCTTCTTAGCCTCGGCTTGCTGAGCAACGGGGTCTCGAGCGGGATGCATAGCCACGCCTCCAATTGTGTCAACAGGGACACCTCGGCCGATGGAGATTGAGCGTTGTGGCCTTCACCGTCAATCGATGATCCACGGCTACGTCTCAATAGCTCAAGCTCTGTAACCTCCGAATCCAGCAGAGGCGTCCACGGCTGTTTCCTGCCCTGAGCAGAGCGACGCGGGGCCAAGTCAGCCGATGACAACGAGATCTCACCGAAAAAATGCATTCTCATTGCTCGCATATGAGTACAGACAATACAAGAATCATCCAAGTTTGGAATGTGATCATAACTTACTTGTTGGGTTGTGCTTGTGCCATTGAATCTTAACTGGATTTTGAGCAGAACATCAGCACCAGCGAGCCAGCGACGAGAGAGGAGCCACGCCGACAGCATGAAGCGGACCGAAGCGGACGAAGGTGAAGCAGACGCACGAACGCAGACGTAGCTGGGAACACGGCGTCGTAGACACGAGCAAAGCTAGGTCAGCGGCTGAGATGTGGCCGAAGCTAGGGCGGCGGCGGTGCAGACTCAAGAAAAAGCTAGGCAGGCGGCGGCGTGGGCGCGGGCGAAGCAGAGCAGCAGATCGCACGGACACGGGCTCAACTCAGCAGCAGACCGCGAGGACGCGGACGCGGTTGGGGCAGCGGCGGCGCGCCAGTCCCGCCCAAAATTATCCCGTACGCCGTCCGTATCGCGCCAATTTCTCCCAGCGGCCTCAGGAACAAGTTAGGCATAGGTCATTCCTAACCCGAGCTGGGCCTTATTTGAGCCACGAAACGTAGTTGGGCTGTAATTTGGAAGGTGAAAAGGTGCTCTTATATCAACCGTTGGATAGCAAATGAATGGCATCGGGGCGCAAGTTACCCATGACTGACTTGGCTTCAGTCAGTTAGACAATCCGAGCCGTCGCTCAGGTAGGCACCTCCTCGCCGCGCGCACCTGCTGATGCTTGAACTGTCTCGTGGACTCATCGTCACCAGCAAAGTCGGCGCACGGTTCTCATCGCCGAACCTCACCTCCGCCAGGGACGCACCTCGGCGTTCCCGGGGCAGTGGGGCACGGCGCCGTGTTCGAGCTCGAACAAGACGTAGTCGGTCCACAGGGACGCCCGGTCCTCCGGCCTCCGCGCGCAGCCACAGTCGCGGCGTTGCACGGTCCGTCGTCTTGCGGGGGCAAGCTGCTCGGTGCGATTCCCATCGATCACGACGGTCGATCGATCGATCGATCGGACACAGCAGCGTGTGCTGTTTGGAGTTGGATTCTCTTGATGTCAGTATAGCGAGTTCTATTGTATGCTCTGTCGTACTCACTGCTTGTAACTATTGTCTTCGTTATATGGCCTTGAGTATCTATTGTAGTCACTTTATTAACTCAGAAGTGGTCAGAGTAACTTTAGTAGCATTGTATAAAATTTCTAGTTTAATTTTTGGATAATGGTTTTTTAATCCATCCCCTTATTTATGAACCTATTTGCTAGAATATGGTTTGGTTAATTTTTGCTATCAGCAACAGATGTCTGGCTCATACAAATGCTTAAGTACACAAACAAGACATATAAGACTTGTTCCTTTTATTCAACACTGATGATACACAAACTTAGTAAAGCATATACATGAAGCCATGCTAATGGAAACATACACGAGAACAAGTGGGTACACATATAAGTTCATACATAGTGGTACGACGTATATATAGTTCACTATTACACAAAAGGTATTACTTGCTCATGGCGAAGCTGTGGTGTTGGTTCTGGTTCAGGATTTGGAAGTGGTTATGGTGTGGGTATGGGTTCAGGCTGTGGGTTTGGCTTGGGTTCTGGCTCTGGGTTCGGTTGTGGTATTGGTTCTGGTTCAGGATTTGGAAGTGGTTGTGGTGTGGGTATGGGTTCAGGCTGTGGCATTGGCTTGGGTTCTGGCTCTGGGTCCGGTTGTGGTGTTGGTTCTGGTTCAGGATTTGGAAGTGGTTGTGGTGTGGGTATGGGTTCAGGCTGTGGCATTGGCTTGGGTTCTGGCTCTGGGTCCGGTTGTGGTATTGGTTCCGGTTGTGGTGTGGGTATAGGTTCAGGCTGTGGCATTGGCTTGGGTTCTGGCTCTGGGTCGGGCTGTGGTGTTGGTTCTGGTTCAGGATTTGGAAGTGGTTGTGGTGTGGGTATGGGTTCAGGCTGTGGCATTGGCTTGGGTTCTGGGTTTGGGTCCGGCTGTGGTGTTGGTTCTGGTAGTGGATTTGGATCTGGTTGTGGTGTGGGTTTGGGTTCAGGCTGTGGCATTGGCTTGGGTTCCGGCTCTGGGTCCGGCCGTGGTGTGGGTTCTGGTTGAGGCTGTGGTGTAGGCTTGGGATCCGGCTTTGGGTCCGGTCGTGGTGTGGGTTTTGGTTTACGGTGCGGTATTGGTCTAGGTTGTGGTGGCTTTACGTCAATCACCCTACTATGAGCAAGATCAAGAACACTTGCAGCCAGTGTAATGGCTAGGGCTAAGTGGAAACATAGTGAGAGGAGGGCGGACCTCATAGTCGATCGCCACTAGTCCTCCAAGACGCGCGTTTGATCTATCTCACTCTAATCGCTATCTCTTCTCGGTCTCCAGTGCAAGCTGTGGGCGCCAGCTTGTGCATAGATGGTATGAGCGTCATGGGTGATTTATAGGCATGGAAAGCCAATCGGCGTCCATGCATCTCCCGGCCCTGTGCGTGATTTTTGCCATGGCACTAGGTATAATATCGTAGCAGCTTTTGGATCGGATGTGTGCAACTTTAGCGCTTGCCACACAAATCACTGTAGATTGGATGATCGTGCGACAGATCAGACGACCTAACTTAATTTGACAGAGATTTGCATGCAATGGATACATGCTGTTATTGTATTTAAAACCGTAGTGCGGACGTGCACGAGCTAGCTAGTTAGTGAGTGGAGAGAACGTCATGCTCATGTATACTGGATCGTTTTTTTTTTTTTACCAGCAGCAGCCTCTATTTTTTTTGAAACTATATATATACACACTGAAGATATTTTTTTTAATTTGAAACTATATATATACTGTTAGTACCTCTATCTACTGTCGATCATGCAAGCAAAGCGTGTGTGTCCCGCGCGGCACGCGTGCATAAAGCTAGAGCTAGCTACTCTCTGCAGTCCCTTTTCCTTTTGTTTTCCATCAGTTGGTATTAGCTAGGCTAATGGCCAGTCCACGACAGTAAAAAAAGATTGTCACCTTTTGATCCCAATCCCGTACCCAATAGCAGCTCCCCGCTCCACTCAAAAAAAAAAAGCAGCTCCCCACTCTACTCACCTGTCCTTCTCTCGTGGGGTTGTCGATCCCCGATTAGCTGCGAGTGAAAAATACTATGCTGGTTTTATCTCTCCTACTTCTCTTATTTTGCATATGCATGGATCTCAGTTCTGTGATTTGTATCTCGTAGGCCTTGCATCCACCCAACATATGTGGATTGAAGCGAATCCGACTACATCCAAACAAGTTATAAGGGGTAAACTATTTCAATTTGTCCAATTTACACCTTTAAAAGTTTTTTTTGCTTTTGTTTCTCTATGTACAACTTTTGTTCTATTTTTCAAGGTGACAGAAGACATCATATTTTGTGTTACAAAGTACATTATGAATTATTCTCATTATGTTTTGTACGATAATGTATCTCTAGTGTTAATTTATTATTAAATTTCCTGAGCTATCAATATAATGGCAAAAAAATATATAAGATATTTTTCTAACTTAGCTTATGATGTCATCTATCACTTCACCAAATTTCATATTAAAAGTCAACTTATATATATGGAGAAACAAAATAACAATCTTGTTAAGAGGTAAACTAGACCAACTAAAAGGAGGGCGTAAATTTAATAAGATGTTAGTTTAGGGGGTTATCTAGATACAGGCTAAAGTTAGAGGGAGTAACTTGGACTTTCTCCATCCCATCTTCTAGTTTTTCCCTTCTCTAAGTCGTCGCTAAGGTCTAGAATGGAAAAAAGGTAATTTTAATTTATAAGCGAGCATCATTCCATGATATATAAAGGTTAATTTGCTCGGTACAACATTACATTTTCATATACCAGATACAAGGAATCAAACATAGAGCCCAAAAATTAAAACTTGGTGTCTAATGACTTCCTTAGACGCTTTTGACTCACCTAGTGGCGTGTATGCTAATCTCCGCTGTTTTGCTTTTTGCATCAATGAGTAGTGTTCTTGCGCTCTATTACATTCCCCTTCTAAGAGTATTTCTAATATGAGTCCTTAAATTAGGGCTCTTTTTTTTTTGAAACTGGTTAGATGTATTACTCATGAGCTGATAGATCGTCAGCAACAATTACATTGATACGTTCTGGGAGGGAGCTTAGGATTTGCTCGACTCCATCACACTCGTACCCACTAGCAGCTATTTCATGAGCCACCCTCTAGGCACACAGATGCATTGGAAACAATTGAAATTTACATGCACCAAGAACTTTAGCTCAGCAACCAATCCTCCTGCCACACGGGCATCGAAGTCACTGGAGTAGAGCTGCAGGGCGTCAGTCTCGAGGGGCTCTTACTTTTGATTTGAGAGCAACTCTTATTTTTAAAGGAGCCACTATCAAAGGAGTTTGTTTTATATTAGAAATAAAAATAGCGTAGATTAATATAAAAACATTATTTAAAAATATTTTAAAAATTGGGTTTAATTCTTTTTTTTTAGAAATAAAAATTGGGTTTACTGAGAGTGCATTGACTGATTCCTGGTTCCGTGGCAGCCAGATTGTGGTTCAGTAGCTGTCCTCACTGACATCTAGGGCCCGCTTACTTAACAGCCCATGGGCCAAATCGATGCAGAGCAGCGTGTGGCGTTTGGGCCTTATGGGCCGTACCGTCACCGAGAGCTCAAGTTCCCAGCCTATACAGACCACGGAGCCCACTAAGCCCAAAAGGAAATTGTGTCTCTCCCCTTGTTGGACTGGACCCCTAGAAGCACCGCCACACTCGCTCCCTCCCTCGCCCGCACTCCACCCGCGCCGCGCCGCCGCCGCCTCCTACTCAGCCTCGGCCCCTCGGATCCGGACCGAGCGCCGGCCATGGCACTCGCCTTCGACGAGTTCGGGCGCCCCTTCATCATCCTGCGGGAGCAGGAGAAGAAGACGCGCCTGCGGGGGCTCGACGCGCAGAAGGCCAACATCGCCGCGGGCAAGGCCGTCGCGCGGATTCTCCGCACCTCGCTCGGCCCCAAGGGCATGGACAAGATGCTCCAGTCCCCCGACGGCGACGTCATCATCAGTATGCGTCTGCTCGGCTCTCTCCCTCCTCTTTTCTCTTCGTCTTGTGGACTGTAGCTCCTGATTTAGCTTCGGTGGAGGTTTTTAGTGCTAGGGTTTCTCGAGTGGCGCGTGCACGCCTTGAGATCTAGGTTCTGCGGGGCATTTGCTCGTATTAACGCTGCTGGTTTAGCCGATGCGGTTTCTAGTTTGTTGGTATAATTCCATTTCATTGTCAGCATAAGTTTACATGCTAGTTTGCCCCCATTTAGCTGCTGCAATGCTCAAATGAGGCGCCCCTACAGTTTAGGATCCGTGCAATAAATCAAGTTGGACAGAAGTTGTTGATTTGGGGATCTAGTTTGCTTGTTCAACCTAGATTTACAAGCTGTTTTGCGCCCCCAAGGGCGCACCCCTACAGTGAAGGTCCGTACAGGAAATCAATTTGGACAGGAGGTGTTGATTTAGAGATCTACTTTTTGCTTGTTCAAAATGCCGTCTCGCTGTTCAGGGGTTCACACTTATAGATATATATAAGCTATCTCAATGCTCACTGCTTCCATTTAGGCCGTGTTTGAATCCCTATAGATAATAACTATCTGCTAATAATTATCTCTTTTGGATCCAAACAGTTGCAACTAATAGACTAGCTAATTGTTAGTTGAACCTCTAGATAACAACTATCTCACTAGTTGAACCAAATTAGATAATGGCAGCTAATAGGTGGAGAAATAACTATCTCAATCAATTAGCTGTGTATCCAAACACCCTCCCAGCTAATAAGTAGCTTGCCAATTGTTAGCCAGCTAATATTAGCTATGTGCTATTAGCTAGCTAACTACTATCAGCTAATGGATCCAAACAGGGCCTTAGTGGGTTAATTTCGACAAGATGCTTTGATTTTAAGATCTAGTTCTGTGCTTTACAAGTTCACTTCGCAGTAATGTTAATGAGCTATCTCACTGACAAACAGTTCCTCAGTTACTTTGCTTACTGAATGGGCTGCCTTGTGAATTGCTAGCAAATGATGGGGCGACCATCCTGGAGCAGATGGATGTTGACAACCAGATTGCAAAGCTGATGGTGGAGCTGTCCCGTAGTCAAGACTATGAAATCGGGGATGGTACCACCGGGGTGGTAGTCATGGCAGGGGCTCTCCTCGAGCAGGCTGAAAAGCTTCTGGAACATGGTATTCACCCCATTAGGGTGGCTGAAGGCTATGAGATGGCGTCAAGGGTAGCTTTTGATCACCTAGAACGTATCTCCCGAAAGTTTGAGTTCAGTGCAGACAACATTGAGCCCCTGGTTCAGACCTGCATGACAACTCTATCCTCAAAGATGTAAGTCATAACAAATCCTCTGTTCAATCAGTCAGCCTTTGTGATGCAGATTTTTTCATTTCATTTATGTCCTTTAGTAATTCCTATATAGGGTTAATACTTAATAGCATTTCAGAGGAGCAATGAGAAATTTTCTTTTCTCTGTGTAGTGCTGTTGTGCCACTTTGTATTTTTTGGTAAAATAGAAAAAAGCTTTGTTAGGGAAGTAGTAACTTTTCAGGGTTCCCTCTTTATCTGACCTAACCAAACAGAATAGTTTTGAAGATTTCATTTGTTCTCACATGTTACTAATCCTTTTTTTTTTGTGAATGTATGCATGCTACTAATCATTGATTCATACCTGTAATAATTGTTCACTTCAATCTCAAGCTGATCTAAACCTATATTTGCTGTGTTCCTGGCCTCTCAATTTTTAACCATTTTCCTATGAAGCTCATTTCTATATGATGAATACACAATCTTTTTTCCCTTCATTTTACAGCATCACCACCTGTTTGTCCCCCACCCCCCCTCCCCAGAAGTTATATTTTAGCTGCTTTAGAAAGATTTCAGTAGGTTCACTGTGCGAAAACAGCATGTCTGATGTCTCAATTGTTCTTATTCTACAGTGTTAACCGTTGCAAGCGGGCATTGGCAGAGATTGCTGTCAAAGCAGTACTTGCGGTTGCAGATTTGGAGAGGAAGGATGTTAACTTGGATTTAATTAAAGTAGAAGGCAAGGTTGGTGGGAAGCTGGAGGACACTGAGCTTGTATATGGAATTATTGTTGACAAAGATATGAGCCATCCACAAATGCCAAAGAGAATTGAGGATGCTAAGATTGCCATCCTGACATGCCCATTTGAGCCTCCGAAGCCTAAGACAAAGCATAAGGTCGACATTGATACTGTTGAGAAATTCCAGACACTGCGTGAGCAAGAGCAGAAATAC